GCCCCGCCAGTCTTCTTCGGCCCCTCACCGAGGCGGTTGCAGGGAGCGGAGTCCACCTACCTTGTACGTGCTGCGTGTGTTTTTTGTTTTTTGTTTTTTGTTTTTTGCAGCTGCCGCCAGGCGCGCAGTCCCGCGTCCCGCCACCCACCCCTGGCGCGCCCGGCCGCCCGCACCCCCAGGTAAGCGAGCCCCCAGCGCCCTGAACACCTCCCCAAACACCACCCTCGCGCCCAGCTCCGGCCCCGCCTCCGCAGCCATGGCGGCCCCGGCCCGGCCCCCAGACGCTGCAGCTGGGTCCCCCATCACCCCGCCAGGGACGGCCTCCCGGGGCTTCCCATCTGGTCCCAGGCCCGGGCCGCCTCCCCTAGAGAGCCCCGCTCCCTCGAGGGCCCGGGCAACGCGCGCGCCCGGGGACGCGGCTGCGAAACGGGCGGGAGAGACTGGGGGCGAAACTGGCACCGTGACGCGGGGGAATCTGGCTATGTGAACGCGAGGAGCGCGACGGGGTGTGTAGGTCCGTCATCAGAGAATCCTTGCGGAGCTCCTAGTAGGTGCCACCGATGTGCCAGGGCTGGGAATGCAGCCTGGGCCCTGGCCGCGGAGCCCACAGCCTGGCTGCGTAGACGGCTGGAAACAGCGTAAACAGAAACACTGGTCATTCCAGCCCGTGCTGAGTGCGGGGAAGAAAACGCATCAGGGAGATGGGATAAGTTAAGTCAGGGAGGGCTTATCGCAGAAGGTATCATCTGGGCCTGAGTGAACCAGCCAGCGAGGCTTTTTTAAGCCCATAAAACAGCAAGATTCTGAGGAAGGGCCCAGCCTGCCGTGTTTGCAGAGCAGAAAAGAGGCCAGCGTGACTGAAGCTCAGGGATTGAAGGTGGGAAGAGGTTAGCGGGGGCCTCGAAGATGGATGGCGAGGAGTGTGCGGATTCCATTCTCAAGCCTGTGGGGACCACACGAGGCTTAGAACAAACTGGTGACGTGGTCCCATTGCGTCTTAAGATCCTAGAGCTGCTGTGGGCAGAACACATGGGAGGAAGCTGCTGCTTTGGACCCGACTGGCAGGGGCGGTGGAAAGTGGGTGAATTGGGAGCTCATTTTGGCAGAACATCATCTGTATCTGCTGCCTGCCAGGAAGTGGGGCATGAAAGAAAGGGCATGAAGGAGATTGCCGACATGGGCCACTGGGAGTGTGGACAGGCCTTTTGTGGCTGGGCTGAGAAAACCGGGGATAAATATGTCTTGGGGGTTGGGACTGTTGTGGCTGAGTCTGACTTGCAAAATCTGTGAGATGCCACCTGACGGGGGAGCCCAGGTGGCTGAGCACTGGCTAGCCCTACTGGGGTGTCCTGGATCTGTTGCATGGGGACACCCCAGATAGAAATTCCGGAGCTAGAGCGTGGGGCTGTCTTTGAAGACCCTGGTGTCTCCAGCCTCAACTCAGTCGGCTTCCAAGAGCAGCTGCTGTCAATAAACTGGTGAGTGCTGGGAACTTGACTCAGCACACCTGGGTCCCGCAGGCCCAGCCAGGCTGCAGGGAGGAGGTGTTTGGAACCTTCCTCGCCTGTCCTCCCAGTTCACGTGCTCCCGGTGGAGGTGTTTTGAGGGGGGATGGAAGAGGCGGTAGAAATAAGCTGGGAGTCTTGGTCCTTGAACTGGCCTTTTGGCCCTTGGGAGTTTTCTGAGCCTCAGTTTGCCCATCCGTAAGCTGGTTCAGTAATCCCTATCCGTAGAAGTGTTGCTGAGGTCAGAGGAAGCCTCGGCTAGGAAAAGGCTCGGTCACCCCAGTAGCAACCTGGTGCCTGGGGGAATGGGGAGGGCTCCAGCACCAGTGGGCATTCACAACCTGTGAGCCTCCATTTCCTGCTCTGAGATATAGGAGTGAGTGTGCAGAACTGTGCTCACCTCCAGACCCAGGGCTGTCTGCACGCTGAGTGAGTCAGGCATGTAAAGTGTTTGGTTGGCCCAGTGCCTGGCATAGTGATCACTGGGCACAGGAGCATCTAGGAAGACTGGAGCTGGCAGGGGAGAGTGGGCCTGGGTTCACTCCTCCCACCTCCCACTACTCTTGGGACACCCACAGGAAAGCGGGCACCGGGGTGGGGAGGCACAGTCCTCTCTTACCTAGGTTCTGCGGGCTGTCCCCTTTCCGGCTATCTGAAGGTTGCCTCTGACCATGTCCTGTCAGTTTGAGTGCCTCAGGCTACTGACTTCATCTCCTTGTGGTTCAATTTCTTCCCACAAAATGAGAATAATACCAGTCATCACCTCGGAGGTGAGCACAGTGCCCAGTTGGTAATGGGCACCTGATAAAACAGGGGATGCTTGAGGGGAGGGAGCCAGAGGAGTGACCTGATTCAGCCTGGTGGGGGTGGGGAGGTGTGGGGTCAGGGCAGGCTTCTTGGAGGAGGTGTCTGTTGGCTGTGTTACTAAGGATAAGTAAGAGTTAATGAGCAGAGAGACCAGTGAACTAAGATTTGGAGGGAAGAAACTGCAGGGTCCATGGGAGAGCTGTGGGCAGGAGCCCTGAGATCCTATGGATGCCATTGCACTAGTCCTGATCATGATGGGGCTGGACCAGGCAGAGGCTTGGATGTGTGAGAAGTGGGCAGGTTCTGGATAGATTTGCAGCTGGGGGTTGGGATAGAAGAGCCACTGATTGGGGAGCAGGTTCAAGTGCAAGTTAACGATCTCTTTCCAGCATCTGGATATTGTGGCGCTGCTAGAGGCCCAGGTGGAGGCCAGGTGGAGGGCAGGCTTTGGAGAAGCAAGCCTACAGCTTGGGAGACATACCCATCTTGGGGCTAAGGGAGATGGAGTGGAGAGAGTGTGGAAGGAAACCAGGAGTGGGTGTCAAGCCAGAAGCCAAGGGAGAAAGGGCTTCAAAAAGTAGGAAGAGTAGACTTCCACCAGGTCTCTGACCCCCTGCTTGAATAATCCCTCCCTTGGCAGGGGTTTTACTCCCTTATTTGTCACCCTTTCCCACCCCCATCCCCACCCCAGGTTATTCAAAATGGGCTTTTCATTATCAACCTTGAATGGGTTCCTCAGATGCAGCCTAGCTCTGACCAGAGTGGCACGGAAGAAGCCTTTCTCCTCCCTTGGTCTGGACTTTATACCTTTGTTAATATGATGCTGTCACACTTGTTCCCCATGCTAAA